ACACGGCGGGTGGGCCGGCGTGCAGCGGCCGGGGGAAAGGATTTCGTGACAAACAGGCGCGGATATCAGGGAGAGAGAGAGAAAGAGGGGAAATTTTTTCTTTACGCACAGCTAGGCTATGCTCTTGCTCGCCCTCCCCCTCCCCCTTTTCCCCCTCTAATTCCGCCTGACACGACCATGCAGACTCGTCACGCCGGGCCAGGCGCGTCCGTAAAATACCTACCAGCCAAGCCCACTCGTCCATACTCCCCCCCCCTCTCCCTCTCTCTCTCGCCGCGGACATTTCTGGGATGGAGAGAAAGAGTGAGAGAAAGGAGGAGGGAGGGAAGGGTGCAGGGCGTGTCCACTCGCACGCAGCCGAGCACAGCCAGCGGCGGGGGGCATTGCTGCGAATATAACACTGGAGGGGACACGGAGCTAGCAGAGCCGTATAATAATATGGAAGAGAGAGAGAGAGAGAGAGAGAGAGAGAGAGAGAGAGAGAGAGACCGGGAGCGGGAAAACGAGGGCACGAGAAGTGACGCGCGCAAATCGAGGGCGGGCGGGCCCTGGCGGCCCTGGTGCACATAGCCCTTTACAGCCCAAACTCAACACGTTATTAGATCCCGCGCGCCTACAGAGACACACCATGACCCTTTGTATGCCCGGCGGCGGGCAATATGCCTCCCTTTCCTGCCCTCCGCCAGCGCGCGGCGCCATTTCACGCCTTTGCTTACACGCGCCGGAGAAAAAAAATGAGTCATTTTCCGAAATTTTCTTTTCCCTTGTCGAGCTGCAATCTTTTCATAAGACGTGGACTTTACATATTCCGTCCGCACCTAAGCCCGAGCGTAAATTTACTGATGATATTTGAAAAGTGACGTATAATCTTGTTTAAGAGACAGGATCACTGTTTTTTGTTTTGCAATGATCATCGCAATTTCATGGCAATGAAAACGCCTTCATTGCCACTGGGTCAGCAACACTGTTAAAGTCTTACGAAGAAAAATGCCAAATCCTTTGTAATACGAAGGATTTGGACGCTTCGTAAGGAGAAAATCCTTCGTAGGTACGAAGCATTTGGCATTTTGCTTCGTAAGACTTTAACTGTGAATGAAGCACATTTTTGGCAATGAACTCCGTTTGGAAATGGGTCATTGGCAAAAATGCGCTTCATTGCCGACCCAGTGGCAATGAAGGCGTCTTCATTGCCAAGAAATTGCGATGATCATTGCAAAACAAAAAACAGTGATGTAAAGACAGTTTCACGTATCGCTAGTGAATTACGTTTTCGTTGGAGCAGGAACAAAGTCCACACCTTTCGAGTAGCAAGTGGCAGTACGCTGCGAACTGATCGTGTCGCTCGACTCTTTCAGTGACGCCTGGCCTGCATTGCGGAGCTTGATTTACGCCGCAACCGCATGAAGGGCCGCTGTCTCCACAAATCATCTCGGATAGAATAGTGTGGCCCCGGCCCAGCCCCGCGGCGGAGGATAGAGAGACACCCGCCGCCTCGGCCTCGGCCGGTACCGACCGGGAGGGGAGGGGCGCGAGCCGTCGTGACGGATGGGGAGGAAATACAAGAACAATAGGATAAAGATATGGCGGTCGCAATGAGTGAAGCGAGGGGTGCCCAACTGAGGTAATCAGGTGTACACAGAGTAGGTAATCCCTGGTAATCACCGGTAATCCTTGGTGATCGCCAGTAATCCTTGGTAATCGCCGGTAATCCTTGGTAATCGGGAATTCCTGGAAATCTTTGGTAATCACTGGTAATCTTTGGTAATCACTGGTAATTTCTGGTAATCACTGGTAATCTTTGGGAATCACTGGTAATCTTTGGTAATCACTGGTAATCTTTGGTAATCACTGGTAATCTGTGGTAATCAATGGCAATCTTTGGTAATCTTTTGTCAATGGTAATCTTCGGAAACCCTTGGTAATCATAGGTAACCCTCGGTAATCTTCGGTAATCTCTGGTAATCCTTGGTAATCGTCGCTTTTTGGTAATCTGGTGTACACGATTTTTTCGAGTTGGGCACCCCTCGGAGTGAAGGGAAAGAGGGATGGCAAAAGGAGAAGATGGGGAGATGGAGGAGGGGGCGCTAGTGGTGGGGCAGAGTCACGTGCGGTGTGCGGGGCCCCGCTTCGTTTACTTTGGCAGACGTCTTCATGAGAACAGCGGGTCAAGGAGGTCTTTTTGCTGGCGCTGCTCATGCGGTCGTCGGTCGGTCGGTCGGTCGGGGGGATGAGGGATTACAAGTAGGGGAGGGGGAGAGCATAAACTTCACACCCGTCGCCCACAAGCCTCGACGCACCCGCCGCCGCCGCCCGCCCGGCCCATGCCCGCAGCGCCCTCCTTCCCACCAGGTCAGCGCAATCGGAAATCACGGCGCAGCAGCAGCGGGCGCACGATTTCTGCGGCCAGCATATTTTTTTTCTTTTTATTTCCGTCAGGTACGGTGCGTGAGGGTGCAGGGAGTGAGACACGCCAGCGACCACACCGCGCGTCGAGCGGAGCGGCACGCAAGCACGAACGACATGGTCTCCACGTTCCACGACTGACACGTCGGCTCGACGTCCGTTTTACTTCTGGACATGGACCGTCCATTTATTATACGAACTTCATAACCTTCCTCTCCCCCCACCCCTCCTGCTGTACGCGTTTGCAGAAAAGTGTCTTTCATAAATTCATGCCCCCAACCCTTTTCCCCCTTGCACACACACATCCCCCACACATTCAGCCGGACGCGGTGTTCCCCCAAGGCATCAGCCGCAGCGCGCGCCCCGCCCGTGGAGTGGAAGCCCATTAGGCAACACTAACGAGGACAAGACCGGCATCAGGCAGCGCACTGAGGAGACATACCACTTCCACCTGGATACTTCCAAAAATATAAAACGTTCAAATATGAAATATTTTGTCGCGCGTGGTGTGTACAACAGCCCTTTCCGCACACATTACATACATTTGCTTGGACGACTTTCGAATGATGGATGGGCCCTCTTGTTGGCAGTGTCCCCCGCGCCGTGGACGACGCCCTGCCGCTCGACGACCAGCCCCGACGTCCATTAGGGAGCAGAGTCGCTGATTCACTTCCACCTCCCCAACATACGACCACCTTTTTTTTCCGGGCTGCGTTACTGCCGTACCCTGGAGCCACTCACACGAAATCAGTTACGAACACACGCACGCACACGCACACAACCACACGCACCTCACCACCCGCTTGCCCCCTTTCCATCGCATCAAAGCGCCGGCGTTCAAAGTTTCCCGCCCTCTCACTCAAGACAAAAGAGTCATCTCGCGCTGCCAGCAGACGGTCTGGTGTTTTCGGCGAGTCGCGGTGCTGCGGTGGGCCCGGCCCGGTGGGCCCGTGGCCAACGAGGGAGAAAACGGGTAATTAGCTTCCCCCGCCCCCCCCCTCTCTCGCTCTCTCTTTCTCTTCATCTCCCCCCGGCGCACACGGTAGGGCGAATCTCATCAGCGGGGAGCAGGGCGGGCGAGCGAGCAGCCTGCGAGGAACATGCCGCGCACGGTTCGACAGTGGCCTGGGCCCGACCCCGCCCAGCCCGCCCGGTCTCACCTCACCCGTACCCCGCGGGGGCCACGCACGACTTGTGCAGTCATGTGTGCGCCATCGAGACCAAATCCATGTGATAAAAATTTGGTTTGGCAAATGACTCAATTGTGACGAATATTTTCAACGCAGTAGCCGCAAAATCTCAAGAATAAAGCACTTCAGTTCTTCTTAACTACGACTCTATTCTGTGCAATCAGGCACAATCGAGCAAGTTTTTGTTAATTTGTTGCTCCTCATACAGAAGCCTGGTAGTACTTCGTTTTCGAACATGGCTTATACCATTGACGGGGAAAGTAAAAAGATAACATACCAAATTGTTTACATCGCGTGTGTGAATAATAGTCGCTCCGTGTGCTGGTGCTTGGGATTTCGCAAATCAGATCCCGGTTGTGTCGCGAGCACGCCACCCCGAGGCAGCGGTGGCTCGGTGCCGCCCGTATGCTCCGCTACACCGCTCGCGGGTATTCACAATTCACAAGAGAAAGAGAGGCGGAGAGAATGGGAGCGAGAATTCGCCGCCTCCATCACTCCCCGGCAGCGAGGCTTTAACTTCAACCAGCCAGGTAAAAATCGATTCCAAGGCAAAGCACGATTTTACGACTTTCCGCATGAGGTGGCATCCAATTCCCACGACTTGCGTGCCAAGCCCGCCCTGCCGCCCAACCACCGGCCCAGCGGCCCTCCAGTGCCGCCACGTCCCGCCGCGCCCCGCCCCGCCACGCCCCGCCACGCCCCCCGCGCAGCTTCACGCCCGCGCGCTCCGATGGCCGCCCTGTGGAGTGCGCCTGAAGCAGACGTGAATCCTCTCCCACAATGCAGCCGGGAGGGTCGCGTGCGGATAAGGGACACGCTTCGGCCCCGCCGCGACAGCACCGGCCGCACCGGCCCGACGGAGACGACAGAGGTGGCCGTGCGTCGCGGACGCAGCCTGACCGCAGCAGCTCTGCTGCGCTCATTCCCACACGGCTCTGGCACGGAACAGGCAAGTGGATTTGCAATTTTTCTCTGGGTTTTGAAATGCTTTGTCGAGGGAATGGGAGTGCAAACTACGCGCTGATAGGATGTTTACCCTTTTAGCTAATGCTGGAATCGCGGCCGGGGCATGTCATGTCATGCCATAGCCAGCCAGAGCGATACAGTCTGAACCGGTTTGAAACTTGCGTTTCAAACTTTGACCGTAGCTAAGGTCTCTGTTCTGACGAGCAACCAACTTCTACCACTGCTGATTTTCGATTAACCAAGACAAATTATTCGATCAGTACATATTCCGTTGGGTTCTATCGCGCAAAACGCTGTGAGAGAAGAGAGGAGACAGTCGCCAAATCCCGACAAGCGAGGGGTTGGGGCGGTCGGGGAAGCAGCATTAATCATCTAGTTTACTGGACGGCTCAGCTTTACTCGGTACAACGTCCGGGCGGAATCGAGCGCGGCGCAACTCACCTTGGGGTGGTCCCGGGTGGGGACGACGACTCGGACGGTGACTTTGACGGGCTTGTCCCTGGTGACGTCGACCAGCCGCCTCTGCTCGGGGAGGATGCTGCCCAGTCCCGCCGCCGAGCCACCGTTGCAAAACCTCTTGCTGTTCCCACTACTGGTCGAGCTGGTGCTGCTGCTGCAACTGCTGCTGCTGCTGTTGCAGGTGCCATTGGTACCGTTGGACGTCTTTGAGTTGTTGTTGCTAGTTAGATTGCTACCTTGACAGTGGGCGCTGACGTTGCTGTGGCCGTTCTTCATGCTAGTCTTGATTTGGGCATTGTGGTTGTTGTTGCTACTGTTGTTATTCTTCAGACTAGTGTTGTTGTTTTCGTTGGGCATTAGTTTGTCGGAGTGATCTGCAACATAAGAAAAACAACAGGCTGGATTAAGAAACAGACGAGACCAGTAAAACCACAATGCACTCGATTTCCCTTCTGAAATCGGTTTGCATATCACATGACTGCAATTGAAAACACGTGTCTCCACACTCTGTGCCCCACTTTTTATTTTCATCCTTGCAGACGCAGCTAAGAGCGCAGTCGGAGTAATCATTGCCCTCCAAGCTCTTTCGCAGCCCCGCCCCCTTCTGTTGCATATTTCAGCGACAACACGGAGGCGTTAAGCCAGCCCGGGAGGCCTCATCCGCCTCCTTTGATCCCAGCGCTCGGCTCTGCGCGGCAACAGAGGGGGGCGTCGGCGGAGCTCCGGAGGGACCGTGCAGCACTTGGCGGTGGCTGTTTGGACAAGCTAGCTGTTGCTCTCTGCCCTTGATGCATTCAGTCCACCAGCTCTGAACAGAAAATGGCGCTCTAAATAAAGAACGGCCCCCTAATAACGACGGGGGCACACAGCAACGTCCAGATGGGGCGTTACAAGCAAATGGCATAAATCTTTGAGGTGCTGCAACCCCATGGGGCTGGGGTGGGGCGCCATTGAAATAAAGTTTGTGAGAACAAAGTTTGTGTGAACAATGTTTGTGCGCTGAATTCATGCACTTACGATGCACTTTGCGAGTAGGGCACACAAACTAAAAAGAAATTATTTGCAAACGTTTAGCAAATTGTGAACTTTATTCAATTGCAAGGTAAAGGCTTAGTAGTGTGCAATGGATGGGCATGTCTCGTCCTCGTAGGACAGTAACCGAAGAATTTACAATGTTTAGCGTCTAAACTACCTATTACCAATCCCCAGCTCAGCGACGGCCCGATAAAAGAAACCGCGCATCTCTTTTAAATAACTTAATTTGTGCATGACCCCTTTTATCATCGCGCACATGGGTACTTAGCGGTAATACAGCCGTAATGTGCGTACCACATATTGGGATGAGCCGTCCCGGCCCGGCGCTAGTTAGCCCCACTCTGCGCCCATTAGCCGCGCGCATCACTCGCTCGTGTTTGACAGAGTGGCTTTGGCCCCCCGCACCCGGGCTGGCACGTCGCCAACTGCATAATTTTCATCCCTGCAAATCGGCCAATGATGTACACGTGCGACAAAGAAAAACACGGCGGGGCCACCGCCGTCCCAGCAGCCAGTGAATCGCGGCACGATGAGTGGGGCCCAGGTTAAATACCTGTCGGCCCGTGAACAAAAGGACATCACTCGTGCTGCGGCAATAAATTGGAAGCTCGCGTTCCCAACTCCGATACGCCTGCACTTGAAGCGCCCCCCCCCCCCCCCCCTCCCTCGCGCATCCCCGCGACAAGACAAATGGAAGACGAAGTAGGTGGAACAAATTACCCGGCTGGGCTAAGAAGGCCGTGCATAGAAATAGAGAACACGCCTGCACCCGACGCGAGGCTTAATCTGTGGCGAGAGGACTGTTTAACATGGTGCAGCCATCGAGTTTGTCATTAAATTTTTCCCTTTTAATATTTTCTTAAAGAGTTTCTTTGCCAAATACATAATTTATACTTTCTTCCCTATCGTCGCTCACCGAGACGTATTACGCCCCTCATGCAAGTATCCAACCCATCAGCACGACAGCCCTCGGGACAGGAAAACCAGAAGAAGTAACGGTGCTACGGGGCCACCCGGTATAGCTTTAAAGAAAAATACTAGGCGAATAGCTTAGAGAAAATGCATCAATGATTATATTACTCGATAAAATATTTCGGGAAATGTGACAAATAACTGCCCGCCATTTATCTTGGGTGCTGAGATAGGAGTCAACATCCGAAACATGCGGGGCTTTTGCTCTAGTACACGGAGGCCTGTTTGCGTTTTTTCATGGCCTAACTTTGGGCCCAAGCAATTTAAATATTTTTGACAGAGGCTTAGCGCAGCCTCATCCTAGGCAGACCTCGGTCGCGTGTGCCCTAAGGAACGCTCTGCAAGGCTTAACTTAACTATTTATCAAAAGCGCTTCTCCCCTCTTCTTACTTACTCAGGCCCCGCTCACCCCGACCAACTTTTGCAACGGAAGAAAAAAAAACGAGATGCTTCTCAAACGACGATGAGGACCCCCTTCAACAAAAGCGTATCAGGTCATAACATCAGGCCACATATCCAGGGGTTAAAAAAAGACAAAGCAAAAAACCTGAAAACAATATAATAATAATTTAGCAACAACCATACGCCTTGTGTGGGAAGCTATACTGTTGGACTAAGTGTAAACTTGACAGGCGAGCTAGGCAGCAAAGATCAACAATGTCTAGCCACGTGTAGCCATCCTGCTGAACCATTTGAAAATTACAAAGCATACGTCTGGTGTGGCAGAGAAAGGCCAGAGCATAGGAAGCGGATGAAAAGATTTCGACATAAATTATTTACAACCTCGCCGTCTTTGCGAGTTTCCAGCTCACCGACACAGCAACATGGTCAGGTCAGCACCAGACACAAGCACCGGTGGAAGCGCTTCTGTTTGTGCAAAGGCAGCCGTGCATAGTGGCTGCTTGCGTAGATGTGTGCGCATGTGTGCGTGCGCGCATGTGCGTGTAACGAGCAGTCGATGAGGCCTCAGGCCAAAACCCGGCCTCTCAGGATGAGCCTTCAGGCCGAAACCCGGCTCTCAGTCAGGTCCTGGGAGACAGGCTGCCCTGGGGAAGACTGGGCCAAGTCGCGCTGCGGTGGCGAAGTGACACAGACACACGGTGTCCAAGGGGGCGGGCGCATGTGTGTGTGGCGGGCGGATAGGCGCCCCCACAAGTCGACGCGTCGTGAAAAAGATGGATAGTTCCATAATGGTCGATGAAAGAAGAAACGTATCAAACTTTCCTAACGATGTCTCCTCCTCACTGGCACGCTACCATGACGGCGAGTGTGATACTCGCGCTAATTACGCACTGAATGGGAGGGAGAGAGAAAGAGATGTCATTAAGGCACAGTAGCAGTCGTCACCGCCATTGGAATGCAGGTCGCGCGGCCAGACGTCCTCTCTCTTTTTCTCTCTTTCTTTCTCTCTCTCTCTTTCACACACACACTCTCTCTCCCCCCGCCCCTTTCTCTCATTAGGAACAAGATTTGAGCAGGAAAAGAACGAGAAGAGACACACGGAAATGTGTTTGGACCAATAGAAAACGCACACCACTGTGAAAGAAAACTTCTAAAAACTGTATTTGATATTTGTAATGTAATGTTACTTGCGAATGCAATCGTGACTAAATTTATGGAAGTTCGAATTTGGCAGAGAAAAAGAAGTCTGTAGTTACGGGGTGTAGGTAGTAATAGTAATTGTACGAGTTAAACTCATTCATTACCACATAGAATTCGTAACTTCTCGATATTTAGCATGAAAAGCTTTCCCTTAAGCCGAAGCACATATTTTACGGATGGCACAGGCACACAAGGCAGCCATGGATTCCTAAGAACATTAATCAGCTCTTCGAGTAAGGAAACTTTCGAAAGAACAACACCAACAACGGCTTTTAAAGACTAACATGCCCACGCCAAACATTCGCCAACACCAACAAGTACCCAATAACGAAGCGCCACTCTCACTGATGGCAGAGTAATGAGTGCTGATGATTGATGCCGGGAGCACCGCGACAACTGCCATCACCTCGCCCGGGGCACCGCCCGGGGCACCGCCCGCCCCATACGCGTCAATGCGGGGCAGACAAGCTAATTAATTAAACAGCGAGGCCCAGCCGACTTGATTAACTCTTGAAAGATGTAACGCATGGCGTTCCGGCCGGAACAATCAGCTGAAAATCAACACTCCAAAGCGCGACAAATATTTGGAGAAGTGCGCGGCGCAGTTCCTTACTACAAAATAAAAAAAGGCATAACAGGCAAAGCCAGCCAATATTGCGGTTCATCCGAAAAAAAAAATCGCTTCATCAGAGGCTTTCTCATTCGCAGAAAAGAGGGGGTCTGCGGTAAAAATAAATGTTTTAATCGGACGAGAGGCGTGGATCTGTTTTCATAGCAAGGCAGCGTAAAAGAGCGCGGAGAAAAGCTCAAGCGTGAAAACGGGTCGGGGCCGACGAGATTAGTTTTCCGTTAGCACTGCGAGACGAGACCGGATAAGAATCCACAGCCATGGCGGGGGCCGCGGGGGCGCTCCCTCTCCCTAGGGGGGCATAAACCCGACCAAGTACCCCGTAATATGCGCAAGTTTTCCGATGGCGCAGCGGGGCGGGGTGCGGAGGTGAGCAGCAGCAGCACAGCAAGGAAAGGACCCAAACCAAAAAGTTCGTGGCCCAATGAAATATGTAACGCCCTGCTTTGCCCCCAAAAGCCGGGGCGAGAAAGAGGAGTCGACCGAGAGAGACACAGAGCCACATTTGTCATCGGTGGCGGACCCCGCGGGGGGCTGCACAGCAGCCGCGGGCCACACAGCTCGGGGCGGGGCGCGAGGGGGATATCGAAAACGACGCGGGATCAAGTCAGTCGTGATCTGTTTCTGACCTTACGCGGTGGCAAGCACAGTGGGCGCAGAGGGGCCCAACCCTGTCGCGCCGCGTGTTACGTAACTTATGCGACGGGACAGAGAGAGATAGTGGAAGGGCGAGGGGAAGAAGGAGGGGGAGGAGGGGCGAGGGAAGCAGGAGCGCGCCTGCAGCAGGCACACTTTATTGAGAAAGTTGCAGAGAGGAGGAAAACCGTAGGCAGGCAGCCCCCGGCCCCCGGCGCCGCTACAATTCGGCCCCGCCCTCGCCACCTCAAGGGTGCAAGAAGAGCGCCAGCAAAATAGCCACTTTTAATTACTTTTAAGAGGGTAGAGTATGCTGTCGATTTAAAATCAATGCAGTTTCGTTCGGGATACTTTTAAAGACGAAGCAGCAGAGGGAAAAAGACTCGTGCAGTTGCTGTGGGGAGGAATCTTTTCCCAGTGGCCCCCCCGGAGCACCCGACGGCAGCCGACTTTAATAATGAATTTAAAACGGGCGGCCACGAGGGCGGCCGGGCTCCACAC